GTGGGGATTCACAGCTGGCCAAGCCTCTCGCTCTGTTCTTCTTCCTGCTGCTTAGTCAGCCTCCTGCCTGAGGCCATCTAGGTGATCTGGTGTGCGTGGCCGGCTGTGTGGGAGAAGGCTCTTTCCAGTGGCTGCTGTATTGTCAGCCAAGCCTCTTGCAGGAGAATGTGTCCTTAGCACCGGCATAAATCAGCAGGGCCTAATTCTCCAAGACCTTGCAAAACTGTAGCTACCACTTGTACTGGTGGTGCAGAGTGAATGTGAAATGCTGCTGGATCCTGAGGCTTTGCTCACTTTACACTGGTGTGAACGATGGTACAAAGTGAGGGGTAGTTGGAAAACCAGGAGGGAGGGAGAGGGGAATGGGGCCGTACACCGTGTTCCCTGTAAGCTGAGTGCTTGCCACCCAGGAGAGATTCAAGTGCTGTCCCACTGATTAGCAGGGCACCCACAGCATCCACACCTCGCATTTTTCTACAGGTGGTGCACATGCCTTGGTGCACATGACAAAATTTATTTTGCACATCAATGGAAAAAATTAGAGGGCACATTGGTTTTATGCCACCTGAAATATTCTCCTGGAAGCACCTTAGGTCCGTTTCTCGTTCAAACCACAGCTCTTTTGTGCAGCCAGGGTGGTATGAGCAAAAGGGCCAGTGTAGACAGCTCCGATTTGTTTTGCACAAAAAAGCCCTGATCGCGAAAATGGCGATCGGGGCTTTCTTGCGCAAAACCGCGTCTAGATTGGCACAGACGCTTTTCCGCAAAAAGTGCTTTTGCGGAAAAGCGTCCATGCCAATCTAGACGCTCTTTTCCGTAAATGCTTTTAACAGAAAACTTTTCCATTAAAAGCATTTGCGGAAAATCATGCCAGTCTAGACGTAGCCATGGCGTTTTGAAAGCCTGGCTTGCTTATTTATTTATTTGATTTCTAACTCTTGGGGTTAGCAGGATGAGCCTTTGTGTGAGTAAGCCGCAGGCCAGAAGTTCTTTGTGTAATTGCAAATGTTGACAGAATATACGGACTTCGGAGTAGAAAGGGGTCTCTCTCTGTTCAAAAGTGTTTTCCTGGCTCTTGGGTCATGTCACAAGAACTATCCTGGATCAAGCTGGGTTGGTACTCGTGAAAATAACCTCTAAGAAGCAGGCTTGTGCTGGGGGATGATTCAGAAAGTGGCACATGCTCCCCTCTGAGTCAGTGGTGAATCATAGCCCCAGCCTCCAGGTACAGTTTTCAGTGATGAAGAGCAAAAGTGCTGACCATTGATGGTTATGAAAGATTCCCCTGGCCTCCTGACCAGCTTGTGATATCATTTCCACACACTTAAATTCCTAGATTGTTTTTCATTTCCTGTCTGACTGTTATGATGCGCTGTTTAGATGGCTGCCATGTTCCGACCCAGCAATGGCTGCATTTCAGTGGTGAAGACTGTTGTTGCTATTATTTTTATCATTATCATTGATGACTTGCACTTGGGGTAGCACCTAGGAGTCCCAAGCACGGAGCAAGACCCCCAACAGTGTCAGGTGCTGTACAAACACAGAACCAAAAGATGGTCCTTGCTTGGTACAGCATATTTATCCTGTTTAGCAGAGATGCACCCTCTGCCCAATACTCTGGATCCAAAGATCCATAAGATTAGGGTCTTCTGAGCCTACCTGGTTATCCCGATCCACAGGCTGTTCAGACTATAAAGTGCTATGAGATCCCTCAGGCTGTGTCTTGCTTTTCCTCACACAGAGTCAGGTATGTTCAGGCTGCTTTTTATTTTGGATGAAGGGAAAATGGAGAAAGGACACCAAAAATACACTCCCCACACCTGGCTGGAAGAGCAAAACCGGCTACTCCAAATGGAATACCGGGTGCTTGCCTCTCTGACATTTAAAGGGCCAGGACACTGAAGAACCAAGCATTGCTTCCTCCCGCAGGCTGTGTCCAGACTCAGGGGTTTTTTCGAAAAAAGTAACCTTTTTTCGAAAAAACTTCACCTGCGTCTAGACTGCAGCCGCATTCTTTCGAAATTAAATCGAAAGAACACGGCTTTTCTTTCGACGGCGGTAAACCTCATTTCACGAGGAAGAACGCCTTCTTTCGAAAGTGCTTCTTTCGAAAGAAGGCGTTCTTGAATGTAAATAGGGCTTCTTCGAAAGAGAGCATCCAGACTCACTGGGTGCTTTCTTTCGAAAAAGCGGCTTGCTCTTTCGAAAGTTCCGCGTGCAGTCTAGACGCTCTCTTTCGAAAGAGGCTTGCAGTCTAGACATAGCCCCACTGGATTTGTGAGCTATTAGCTGGCCATCCATGGGACTTTTATAGCCCCTGTTCCTGCAGCGTCTGAGCAGCGCACTGTCTTTCAATGGGAGGTGCTATTATCTCCATTGGACAGATGGGAAACTGAGGTACAGAGAGGCTGAATGTCAAGGTATTTAGGCACGTAATTCCCAATCGGAGTTAGGAGCCTAAATGCCTGTAAAGATTGGGGTGTAAGTGATTTGCCCGGGGAGGCTGTGGCTGCCGGGGAACTGACTTCCTGGACTGTCGTGCACTTATGGCTTGACAACCATGGCTATCTGAGGACAAGAAGTCTCAGAGGGGTTGCCGTGTTAGACTGTAACTTTAAAAACGACGAGTGGTCTGGTGGCTAACAAAAATATAGAGAATCATGAGCTTTTGTGGGTAAAACCCACTTCCTCAGATGAATTGGAGTGGAAATAACAGCAACCAAGATAGATATACAACAGCAGAGGAGGTACCTGTCAATTGTAGGATCTGTGTTAATGAGGCTAATTAAGTGGGCTGGATATGTCCCATTCAAACCTTTTGATGTGAAAATGCAGCTGGTAAAGGCAAAAGAAATTGGCTTTGTCATGTGCCAACCAGTTAATGTCTTTGTTCAAGCCCAAAGTGTAACTGTCAGACTTGTAGCTGAATTCCAGTTCTGTTCTGTCTCTCTGTAATTGGTTAGTGACATTCCTTTGTAGAAGAATGGCTCCTTTTAAATCTAGGATGGAGTGACCAGGCAGGTTAAAATGTTCCCCTGCAGGTTTGTGTGTGCAGGGTTTATGTGTGTTACCATTTTAGGACCAAAAGGGAAGCCTGCATGCTAATGCAGCCTCGCCGGTAGCGCTGCTGAAACAAGGATGTGTGAGTATGGTCCCCGGCTGCTGAGTTAAATGGTACATGGCAGTGGGGGAAATGCTCCTGCCAGCTTCTCCTTTCGTTCTGAGAAGAACAGCAGTGACTCATGCCGGATGCTCTCTAACCCTGTTGCTTGCCTGGCAAGGAGCACCAGCCGCTCCAGACAGGAAGCCAGGTCGCCTGTCTCGATGACACCTGGGGCTGATCAGCTCTTCCATCTGCATGCATTTCCTTTTTGTCTCCTCTACTTGGCCCAGGGCCCAATGCACGTGCTTTGGGTCTGCCTGCCACTGACATGCAGCCACCTCTGGGGCAGAGCGCGGCAGCGGGTCTGTGCCCGTAACGATGCATTAGCTTTGCGGTGTTCTTTTCTTTTCTAAAGGAGGGGAAGCAAAAAAATAACTTCCTCCACGGAGACTTTCGGAGGGGCTTTTCACACAAGTGGAAGTAGAGTTAATTGGCTGGGTTAGCAGGATTCACCCAGGGGATCTTGCAACTTTGTGGGCAGGAGGATACGTTGGTGGCCTTCGCTGGGTGAATGCTGGAGTCTTCTCTGGCCAAAGCAGGCAGAGTCCAGACAGGGGCAATGCAAACTCCCCTTGGCCGGCACAAGCATCCCCTCCACTCTCTTCCTTACTCTGCAAGGGGCTTGGGGTGAGGACTGCTGCTTTGGGAAGTGTTTCTACAGCCTCCGGCACTGTGGGGCCCTGGCCTGGAGGGGCAATAAAGATGCAATAGCCTCACTTGTGGCAGGGGTTGGCTGTTTGGTTTGTGTTTGTACAGCACCTGGCGCGGCCGTACTAATAACAATAACAATGGCTGGTTACTGCAACACTGGGCTCAGGATGAACCGGTAACCTAGAGACCCCATCTCAGCTCTCTTCCCCAATCGAATCCCCACCCTGGCCCTTTGCAGCCGGTGGGCCCGATCCTGCAAAATGTTGGGGGCCTTCTGCAGGGCACTGCACCTTCTCAGCTCCCATTGCAACCAAAGGCCACCCTGTCTGAGGTCAAGCAAGACAGGATCAAGACTTGGGGAGAGAAATAACTAAGTCCACCGAGGGCCTGAGCCTAAGCGCTGCTCACTCCCTTAGCTTGGATATTTCTGATTTATGTCGGGGCAGATGAAAGCTGCACAGGCTCTCATGGCTCAGGCAAAAGGGGTGAAAACCGCTGCGGGGGCCCAGTGTGGCTTGTTACTAGCTGAGCACCAAGGCAATGTGCGTGGGGGGGAGGAGACGACACCGGGACTTTGTACTGAGCAGGGCAAATAGGAAATAGGGCGTTGCCGCACGGAGCTGCTGCCGTTTAGCGTGGGTTTGGCCTGGGCTCAGTGGGGCCATCTGGATTTACCCCAGCTGGGAATCTAGCCCCTTAACTCCAATGTGCATTGGCAGCAGCTGTGTCATTAGTGAAGGGCTGGGTGGGGGCACTAAACTGGGACCCTAATAATCAGGGAGCCAAACAAGAGGTGAGTCTGGACAGGGTGGGGCTTAGAGCTGCTCCCCCTCATGCTGAACTGGAGTAACCCCATTGATGTCAATGGGGTGATAGAGAAACACCACAAGGGGCCAGGCAGTGGGGCCTCCACCCTGCCTGCCCCCCATAGGCAGCCACGTGCGTGGCCTGGGGGAACCGTCCCACCAGGCCTAGAGCAGCTCTGCTGCATGTGATGTGGTGAGGCCTGCTCACAAGTGAGCCAGGCAGGCACCAAGCCATACGGTGGTGCCTTGTGCGTGAAAGCTGGGCAAACCCACCGGTGCCGTGGGGTGCCCCAGTGCCTCAGCCTGGGTGGTGACTGGCTGCCTCGAGGAGGGAGGGAAATGGGGAAGGATCGACTCGTGATTCGTGTCTTTCTCTCCAGCCAGGCCATGCTGCCCAGGGGAGAGGAACTGAGCCTTTCGACTTGACCCCATCCGCTCCACTGGAGCCCAACTGGAGCCGTGCACCGCGTCTCCCTGCTCAGCTGCTGCCTTGGGGTGTGCGCGTGTGTGTGTCAGTCACACACCAGCTGTAGCTGGCTCGCTGGGAGGTAAGCTGTAACCATGGCGACGCGAGGAGGGTCCCCAGCAGGCCGGGGAGGGATGCGTGTCTAGGAAGGGATTTTCCTCCTCTAGATCACAGGGAGCAGCCTGCTTCAAGCAGGTTGGTTTCCCCGCGCCGGGAGCTGCATGAGAGTTAGCTCAGGGAATCGGAGCTGCAAGGGAACTGGGCGGGAATTGGAGAGAGACATCTGGGCTCCTCTCTGGGGAGGATGGAGCTGAGCTGTTAGTACCAGGTGCTCATCAGGAGCAGGTAAGACGGCGATGTTCTGCCTTGGGGGGGCTGATGATCGGGGTCTGGGGGCTGTTTGACAGCCGGCAAAGGGGAGACCCCCACCACTGGCTTTTTCCAAAGGGTTTCCCAGCTGGGAAATTCATGCTGCGAAGAGTGTCGGCGCCCGGTTTCCTCCAGGAAAACCCTAGCTGCCGAAACAATGAGGAGCAGGGTGGTGAAGCCCGCACATCCCCATCGGGAGTGCCGCTCACGTTCGTTATTAATCAGGGAGCCAAACGAGGCACCGGGGACCTTTTGCTAAAGCAGGCTCCATTGTGCCTTCTGACCGCGCCTCTCTGGGGAGTTCACCGGCAGCGCCAGGGCGGGGAAAGCCAGAGCCAGACCTGCCGATGCATTTTCCCAGCCAAGCGCACGCCGCTCCCCGATCGGCTTGCGTGGCAGCAGAATGCAGGGCCAGATCCACAGCGGGTGCAAATCGCCAATGACCATGGACTGCAAACTCCCTGCAAAGGCGTGAAATATCCCTGCTCCGTGGGACTGTTCTCAGTGAAAGACGCCTGTGCTGAGGGTTATCTTCTAGTACTGGGCTCACGGATGTTCTAGGTGCAGAGGAAAACAGCTGGCGTGAATGTGCCAACTCCACTGAAGTCCCTGAGCTCGGCCATTGGCTTCAATGGAACGACACCGATTTATGCCCACCGGGGATCCGGTCCGACAGGGTTTAGACAGAGGTGGCGTGTGGGAGCCGATGGAAATGGAGGGAGGACAGCGCCGGGGCAGGGCAGCACCCCGAGGGGGCTGAGAGAATGGGGCAAATGCAAATTGCCCCAAAAGAGTCTCCGTGGGTGTAAATTGGGACTGTTGCGTCGCCATCCAGATTTACCTCAGCTGAGGCATGACTCTGAGGGAGCAATGCAGACTGGCAGCAGCTGTGTGATTTGTGAGCGGCTGGCGGGAGCACTGAGCTGGAAGCTGAGCTCAGACCCCTGCAGGGAGAGGGTTAAGGAGGGACCGTCGGGCTGCGGGGCGGACACAGGGACAACCCACAGCCCTTTGCCTGTCTCTTCCTCTTCCACTCTCCATTTTTCACAGAGGCAATCGCTGCCTGTTGCACGCAGTTCCAGAGGCCAGTAGCTCTTACAAGGCCTGTGGACACACAGCTCAGTGCTTCGCGCACCTGTGCTAATCCCTCCAGGGCAGCCCCTGCTGACAGGCTGGTCAGTGTCATTAGAGCAGGTGAAGAAACTGAGGCACGGCGTGGGGACATGACTTACCCCAAGACCACAGACAGGGAGATGAAAAGCCAAAGGAGCCCTGTTCTGAGCTCTAACCACTACCCCATGCTCCTTTTGCCCCTCTCCCAAGACACTTTGCCTTCTTGTCTGTGTCGCTATCTAGGACTGGGAAAAAACCTGCTAGGCAGGGGCCATAGGGCCTGAACCCACCTGGTGTAGACGGACATAACTCGTTTGGTGCCAGATCCCTAGCCAGCGTAAAGCGGCATCACTGCATTGGCGTTGATGGCCTAGTATGTATTAGATAGATGTGGTAATCTTTATTGGATCTGGAGGAATATGGAAGGCTGCAGATGGACAGAGAGAAGCCACAGATGGAGGGCTATGGATGGATGGACAGAAAGGCATGGAGGGAGGTGTGGATAGATGTGGATGAATGGATACAGATGGCTAGAGGGGGATGGATGGATGACTGTCTGTAGGGGTTGATAGGACTGGTTGGATGGAAGGATATGAAGGGGCATAGAAGGAGGTGGGGAGGGAGAGGGGCATGTTTGGTGATCGAGCAGCTATGAACCAGGAGCTGCTGCCTTACTGGAAATTCCTGGTCTGCAGCTGGGAGTTACCTGCGATGCTCAGACCGGATATCTCCAAAGGAGTGGGTCTGTAATTCCCTGCCGTGGTTGGCTCCAGCAGGGCCTGGGGTGTGCATCACTGGGTGGCTGGCTCCATGATAATGACAGCCGGACTGATCATCTCCCCAGCACTGGTGGGGAGGGGTGGGGGAAAATGGGAAGAGGCAGGAGAAGACATGCACAAGTGCACGCAGACATACACACGCTGCCATTCTCCATAGAAGGGTGGGCAGGCAGCAAGAAAGCCCCAGGCACTTTTTGCTCAGCCTAGAGACCTGGAATGAAGCTGCCATTTCCCACCCTAGGGAGGAGGGTGACGGAGAAAAGCCACACGGGTCCGCTGCAAACCAGCAGCTTCAGGCAGCGGTTAGGGAGCAACAGACCCACTGATCTGGGGGGGAAGGGCAGGCGAGAAATCTCTCTCCAGGGGGGTGAGATTTCTTCCTTGGCAAAGAGCCAGAACCCCCCTCCGTCCCACAGTGACTGGAGAGTGTGGGTTAATTTTGTGCTGGTCTCTCTTAACCCCAAGGCAGCGCATCAGGGTGGGGGGGAGGCAGTAGCGCTACATCCTATAACGCTGGTGTAAAGGGCACTGAGAATCAGCGGGAGGGTTAACTGTTTCTGCCCCTCTGCCAGCAGTGTCTTGTCCCTGTTACAGGTTCCCTCCCCATTCTGACTCTGAAGCTGTCTCCGCTACAGAGTTTTTGAGGAAAAACCACCATTTTTCCACAAAAACGTGCGGCGCGTCCACGCCTCAAGTGCATTTTTGTGCAAGAGAATCAAAAGAACAGAAGGGTTTTTGCGCAATTGGTATTCCTCTTTCCAGGGGCAGATGATCATTTTGCGGGGCCCAGGGCAGCCCAATTTCGTGGGGCCCCCCTTTGCCACAGTGCATGCGCGGGGCTTCTTGAAGCGCAGGGCCCGGGGCGGCCGCCCCGCTCGCCCTGCCTTATATCCGCCCCTGCATGACTGGAATATTGGCATAGAAGGGTACAGCTTGTTCAGGAAGAACAGGCAGGGGAAAAAGGAGGGAGACGTTGCCTTATATTTTAAAAATCTATGCACTTGGAGAGAGATTGATATGGACATTGGAGACAGACATGAGAGACTCTGAGTAAGGATGAAAAAAGGGCAAAAAAACAGGGATGATGTCATAGTAGAAGGTTTATTACAGACCACATAACCAAGAAGAAGAGGTGGATGAGGCTTTTTTTGAACAAATAACAAAATAATCCAAAGCCTAGGACTTGTTGTTGATGGGGCTCAATAATTATCCAGACATATGTTTGAAAAGGAACACAGAGGGGCACAGGTTATCCAATACATTCTTGAAATGTATTGGAAACTCTTTTTTTAATTTCAGAAGATGGAAAACACTACTGGGGATGGCGGAAGGCTATTTTAGATTTGGTTTTAATAAATAAGGAGGGACTGATTGAGAATTTGAAAGTGGAAAGGGAAGGCGGAAGGGGGGAGGGGCGTTTGCGCAAAAAGAGGGAAAAGCAGAGTTGCCCTGGTGGCCATTCTGTGCATACCAATCCGTGCTTACTTTCGAGAGAGCATCCATGCAGTCTGGACGCTCTTTCACCAAAGCTCATCACTCTTTCGATGCGCTTTTGCAGTGTGAACGCTCTCTTTCGGAAGAAGTTTTTGTGGAAGATCTCTTTCAACAAAAGCTTCTCACGCAAAAAGCCTGCAGTCTAGACTTAGCCTGAGAGGGACTCCGATGTCAAAACTGAAGTTTGGATTTGAACAGCCCGGCCTTTCAAGAGTGCTGACCGTTTAATCCCTCCCCTGTGTTTTAACCAGTCACCGATCTATGAGAGAACCTTCCCTCTTCGCCCATGCCTGTTTCGTTTGCCTATGAGCCTTTGGTGAGGAAGTTTGCCAAGCACTTACTGAAAATCCAAGTATGCCGTATCCACCAGCTCATCTTTATCCCCCAGCATATCGACTCCCTTGAACTCTGATAGATGGGTGCAGTGCAACTTCCCTTTACAACTTCCCCAGGAAATCACGATTATCTATGGATCGGCTGATTCTACCAGCATGCCCAGTACTGAAGTTAAGCTCACCATCCTGTAAGTGCCAGGAGGGCCCCTGGTGTTGCAGTAGCTTCCTTCCACTAGTTCCAGAGCTGTCCTGTCCGTGAGACGGTTCGGGGAGGCCGCCCCAAACCCTGTGTTTTGGGGAGGCCCCACAACAGCTGCTTCAGTCATTCTGTGGACGGGCCTGCTGTGGGCAGCAGCAGGGGTCACCCCGTGTCCTCCCCCCCACACTCCACAGCATTTGGCTTCTCCATGCTAGGGTGGGTCAGAGCAGGCTGCGGTGGGTCAGAGCAGGCTAGGTGGGTTGAACCCTGCTGCCACCCGGCCCCGGGTTACACCCCAGCTTCCATGGGATGGGGCAGGGAACAAGGGGGTGGAGCAGGGACAGAACTTGGATGGAGCAGGGTAGGCCTGCACGGGGCAGGGGTTACTCCAGCCTTGCAGCTAGATGCCCCAGAGCCCGAGCCCTCCTAGGGACGGCCATGGCTGGTCCTGCTGACTTATTGCCATTTTATATAGCAACATGTTCTAAAAGCCTTTTCTATTGACACAACCCGATGGGACAGTGCGTCCGATGTGTTAAGGAGAGTTCTGCCGATATGGCTAAACTTCCCCTACCTTCTCAGCAGGCAGGATTGCTGCAAAGAAATAAATTAGCTTCTCCTCCTTAGGTGTTCCCTTGATGCCTCGGTTGTCTGGTGGCCCCACTGCCTGAGTGCCAGGCTTTCTGCTTTTGATGTACTGGGGGAAGGGGGAAATCTTACAGTTAAGAGTCTAATGTGGCTGCTCACGTTCTTTCTTGTACTTTTACATTTAACCTGGCGGGTTTGCGCACCA